GAACATGGCAATGGTTGGATTTTTGCGTGCTTTTGATCATGATGACTCCGATGAACTAATCTCTCTCTTTCCCCCTTGATCTCTCTCTCTCTCTCTCCTTTTCTCCCTCATGCGCTCATGCTTTACTTGCTTTCTCATGCTTTTAACTAGTAGTTTAGTTTAGTTTAAATTCAACCCAAACCAAGCGATTAACATGTTTATGATGTTTTCAGTTGTGTGATTTTGACGACTAGATAGTGAATGAAGCTCCGAATAGCATTCCTTTGTGAACGACCCGAGTCGGGTAGCTCGGTTACCACATGCCAAAAAATACTACTAAACAGGAATGTCAATAAAACCCGTAGGGTCGGGTTACCCATGGGTTACCTACATTTTTGGGTCGGGTAAACCCGAGATGATCGAGTTTCGGGTCGGGTTAGGGTAGAATTATGCTACCCGAACACCGGGTCGAGTCGGGTCGGGTATAGTAGGCAAACCCATTACCCGACCCGATTACCCTACCCGTTTACCCGCAACCATTGCATCATATATATACATACACACATATATATTTATAACTTATTATAAATATAAAAGTAGTCATGTGTTATGTTTAAAAATTAGATTATCAATTATAATTTTGATTAATGGTTAAATTTATTTAATTTTTGTAATTTTATTATATTTTTTGTTAATTGTACAATAAAAAAATCAAATACTTAATTTTAAATATTATAATATTAAATAGACTATAAAAGATAAATAATCATATCTTATTATTTACTCCAAAAATAAAATATTTTTTTTATAGATTTTAATTGTCAAACTTAGTTAATAAATTATTTCTTACATTATAATTAATTGTGAAATTTTTTTATTTTATTTTTTCATATGAAACGAGATGTGTCGAATAAAGCTCAAATTTAAGACTCGAGTTACCCGTTCACCCAACGAAAACCCACTAACCCGTTGGGTAAAACCCAACCCGAACTCGAAAATCACTAGCCGAGTAATGGGTCGGATTTAGGTAGGGTAAATTATATACGGGTCGGGTTCGTGTTTGCCAAAACCCGTACCCAACCCGACCCATTTACATCTCTAGCTTCATTAAACATATCATTAGAACTTGAAGGCATAAAAATTGGGTTTACAAACAATTTACAATTGCGGGTATGGGTCCGGTGATTCAGTCAATTAATTTAAATTTAATTCAAACTAGATATATTATCAATTTCCTATTTTTTAAATGTATTGATGTGTTAAACATGTATTACATATGAGAAAGATGAGAAATTATGAAAATATAATTTATAAATTATAATGACATTATGTTATTTTAATGTTATGCTTTTTATATTAACTAAATAATGGCTCAAGTATGAAATTATTTTGTATCCATCACTGCGAGTAGATTTTGAGTAAAACTTTCATTGAAATATTTACAATTCTAGTGACTTACAGATGAGAAGGATGACAAATTATAAAAAATATAATTTTTAAATTGTAATGACATTATGTTATTTTAATGGTATACTTTTTCTATTAACTACATAATGACTGAAGTATGAAATTATTTTGTATCCACCACTGCAGGTAGATTTTGAGTATAACTTCTATTGAAATTTTTTCAATTCTTGTGACATTTTTTCCGACTGTTAAAATATGACTCGAAACAAATTCGAACGAAAATATAATGTATGTATATTAAGCTTTATAAATATAATTCAAAATATATTATCAATTTCCAATTTTTAATGTACGTATATTAAGCTTCATTAAACATATCATTAGACCTTGAAG